GACTATTTTGACTCTATTATGTATGCGCACCATGTATATGCCTTGTGCCTGCTGAGATCAGAAGAGGGTGTCAGATCCCGTGGAGGTGAAATTATAGATGGCTGTAAGCTGCCAATGTGGGTATTGGGACTTGAATCTGGGACCTCTGAAAGAACAGCAAGTTCTTTTAGAACTGAGTCATCTCTCCAGCCCCATGGAGAACTTATTTTTTTTTTTTTAACTTTCCCCAGCCTTACTTTCTACATAGGCAAATTGGGGCTAGTAGAAAATCTGCCACAGAGGTGAGGCTAAATGAGGGATGTTTGGGAAGTGCTTAGCATATACATAGTATACATAAGCATTCACAGATTTTACAGTTATCAATAACAATACAAACTTGGCCTGGTGAGGCAGACCTGGAAACCCAGCTACTCCAGAGACTGAGGCAGGAGGATTCCAAGTTCAGTGCTCGCTTGGGCTGCAAAGTGAATTCCAGGTCAGCCTGAGCAATTTGGTGAGACTCCATCTCAACATAAAAAGCAAGAAGAGGGCTAGATATATATAGTTCAGTGATCAACGCTTGCCTAACATGGAACAACATTGGTCCTGTATTCAGCTCCCATTATTGCAACAAAAAAAGAAAGAAAGAAAGAGAGGAGAGAGAGAGAGAGAGAGAGAGAGAGAGAGAAGAGAAGAGAAGAGAAGAGAAGAGAAGAGAAGAGAAGAGAAGAGAAGAGAAGAGAAGAGAAGAGAAAAGATAGTATAATCCATGATTTACCTGGTCGATGTCTACAGTGTTTTAACTTGTTTTCTACACTTTTATAGCAAACATCTAATGACATTTCTCCATCATGCTGCCACTGATCGTTGTGGCTGTGTCTTTACAGAGAAGGTGGGAGAAAGATGTGCGACAGCTTAGTACCCTGCCAACCGATGCTCTAAGTCCCTTCCAGGCTCCATGAAAGCACTGTGGGGAGGCAAACAGGGGAAGCGCCTGCCTGCCCTACTCTGCCTTCAGAGAACCCGCGATGCAGGAAACACTCAACTAGGAGACAGTGAGCGGAGTGCTACATGTGCCAAGCCTCCGTCCAGTCCCAGCAAGTCAGAGGGCATGGAGGAATTCCCAGAGCCAAAGACACTTAAGAGGCAGCAGTGTGGGCAAACTGAGTGAATGATCTTAGCCCACTGGCAGGGGAGGGGATACAGTGCAGCACCTGTTAGAGAAATTTGTGAGCATTGAGAACTATAAGGAAGAGCTTCCGCCTTCCAGCTTCTCAGTAGTGCGTGAACAAAGGCTGTCAAAAATGGATCAATAACATCACCACTACTCCATCACAGGCAATCCATAGTCAATAAACACTAGCTGGTTATATTTTTATTTGTTTAAGCCTCCAAAGACAGTTGAGGGCAGTGTTGTAAGCCTCCTTCCTCATCTCCTTGGAAGACTGAGGCAGGAGGATTGCTAGCATCCTGTTTGTATAACTTAGTTAGACTCTGTTTCAAAATAAAAAGAAAATGGGTATGGATGTAGCTCAATGGCAGTTTTTCTAGCATGCACAGATCCCCTGGGTTCATCACTCATTACTACAAATAAAAGAGAAAGAGAATCCAAAAGAGTCTAGTTTTTTGTTTGTTTTTCTGTTTATAGCATGAGTCAGTCCTTATCCTTCTCTCTGAAAATATTGAGTATGTTTCTATCGTTGGATTATGGGTAGGTTTTTGTTTGTTCACTTGTTTTTATTTATAAATATATATGATTTATATTTTATAATATAATTATGCTATATATCTATTTCTATATATACCATGTCATCCAACCATTTTAAATGAGAGTGGCCACACACTGAATCAACTTTGCTCCAGTAACTGTTTAAAAGCTACTTCTAGCAGCTCTTTGTCACTGTTTTTAGTGTGGGGGGAGTAGGAATGAGCAGATTCATTGTAGAAGTCTCTTACAACAAGGGCTGGAGAGACGGCTCAGTGGTTAAGAGTGCTTGCTGTGGGGCTGGAGAGATGGCTCAGCAATTAAGAGCACTGGTTGTTTTTCCAGGGGACCTGGGTTCAATTCCCAGCACCCACATGGTGTCTCACAACCATCTATAGAGGGATGTGATGCCCTCTTTTGGCACAAAGGCATACATGTAGATAGAGCACTCATATACATAAATTTAAAAAAAGAGTGCTTGCTGTTCTTTTCGAAGCCCCACATGAAATGGCTTTCAATGGCCTGAAACTCCAGCTCCAGGGTATCTGGTACTTTATTTCTGGCCTCTGTAGGCATACACATAATACATACATATACCTATACACAGGGTACATACACATAAATAACCCCCCCCCTTTTTTTTTGAAGTCTCTTGTGGCTTTTCCACAGGGACTTAAGCTTTAGTAAGTACCACCCTGAGTATTCTTCTGTCTGGCCATATACTATAGCAAATGTCTAATAGTTTATGATGATGTGCTCTGTCATAAATGCAAATGAAATGAATCCACTGAGGATTTTGCTCACATCCCACTGTTACTGTCAGCATGAGCAAATGGAGATGGCGCTTTCTTTCTTTCTTTCTTTCTTTCTTTCTTCCTTCCTTCCTTCCTTCCTTCCTTCCTTCCTTCCTTCCTTCCTTCCTTTCCTTCCTTCCTTCCTTCCTTCCTTCCTTCCTTCCTTCCTTCCTTTCTTTTTCCTTTCTTTTTTTTTGGGGGGAGTTAGAGATAGGGTTTCTCTGTGTAGCCCCAACTATCTTGGAACTCGCTTTGTAGACAAGCAAGTTAGAACTGGGCTCGAACTCATAGAGATCTGCCTGCCCTCTGCAGTGCTGGGATTAAAGGCATGAGCCACACCACTGCCTGGATAGATGACAATTTCTAATCAGCTGATCTAATAATGGGATGTCTGGTGTCAGCTGTCAACATGGTGAGTCAAGGTGTCACTCAAGACACAGCGATGCAAGACTAAGACTTTTGTAGGCTTTTTTTGGGGTGTTTTGTCTACATGAACATCTATCTGTACCACTTGTGTGCTGGTGCCCACAGAGTTATGAGCTATTGTGAAGTACTGTGTGGGTACTGGGGATCCAACCCGCGTCCTCTGGAAGAGCAACAATACTCTTAACTGTTGTCTCTCCAGACTTTTTTCTTAGATATTCCTGTCTTATTTCTAAGGCTCAGTATCTTCCTCTGGGACATAGATGGCCAATCTCTGTTAGTTTTTATTCTCTGAGGGGACCAAAATATTTGTTGTCATGAATCAAAGGCCCACCCACAGAAATCCCTTCTTGGCCAGAAATGATTTCATCTTAGTAAGGTCCATGTGTGGAATTGTCTGGGCAAGAAAAGAAAAATGTCTGAGTTGAACTTGAGATATGTGACTTAGGAAGAGGTGGGTGTCTCCTGGTGTCACCCTTGAATTCTCCTCTCCCACTTGCTGCCTGGCTCTGACTGATTTTTTAGCTCAATGAATGCTATTGATGAACATAGCCGGGGGCTCATAACAGACAAGCTTTCTCTAAGGCTCAATGAAGAAAAGGACAAAGAATAGATGAGATGCCACAAGCGGGGAACAGCCCCTACTTTAATGAGCCCCTGAAAGCTTCAGCTGGGGCACTTTATTGATTTCCAAACAACACATCCACAAAACCCCCTATTATAAAACGCAAAAAACTGGCATTTTAAACACTCAAGTGATTCTGATCAAGGACCATATTTGAGAATCACCCAGGATTTCACTTAATTTTCAATATTAATTGGTAAATATTGTATTTTTACTTTAAAAATGGGGGTCTGGAAATGTCCAAGGTCTCATAGCTAGTAGCTGGGTAGTAAGGGTTTAAATTTAGCTCAGACTCCATTTTAGATTTCTTAATCACCTCAGTAAAGGAGATAAATTTGTGTAGAGAGATATTTAAAACATATGAATATAATTTTTTTCCTTTTCTTGTCTAGTCTAGTGACTGTCACTTGCAGACAGTATGTGACTATGAAGGAAAAAGTCAATAGTTCACAATTTTTCCAGTCAGTATCCCTCCCTTTGTAAAATGTTTTATTTATTTTTTTCTGAAAGCTAAAATATTTATTCTATGTTAAAAAGTATTAAGAGCCCTATTAAGTAAAAATTATAAATTAAAACTGTTTATATGTAATTAAAATACTTTCTCTAAGAAGAAAAAAGAATCAAAACTTCATTGGCATTTATTACCATCTCTAGGTAATGGATTATACAGTACATTTCTCTATTTTTCATATCTATCACCTATCTCATCTATCAACCATTCAGTTACCTATCTAGTATATGGATATATTTATGATTAACCGAATAGTTTTTTGACAGAATGATGCGAAAGTAAAATATTAATATAGATTTTCACAAAGAAGATACGACTCTCCACCCTACTTCTTTTTAATGTTTTAAATTGCCTATAAAGACAACGATTTTGAATCTTCCTAAATTATGGAAAACGGAAATTCTTCTCACTATTTTTCCCGGAGAAGAGCACTGGCATATTAGGGTGATTCTTTTAGCTTTTAAATAGAACTTACCAACATTTTATGCAATTTTTGTTACCATACAAGTGTATAAATAAATAGCACCTAAGTTCATGCGGCGTGGCAACATTATAGATGGCATAATATTATTTAAGTAGGTACAATTAATCAAGATTTTAATTAGTGTGAAATGCTTAAAAGGCCCAAGGGAGCCTTAGTAGCCTACCCAAGGCTACCCTCGGTTCAGCTTGCGTCCCCAGACAGCCCTGGCCCTCCCTCCTTTCCCTGAAGTCGGGTCCCCTGTACTGGCCCCGCCCCTCGTTCCTCTTCCTTGCAACCTCATCTCAACGCACGGATCCGCCCCTCGGCACCTGCAAGACTTTCTCCTCCCGCCTTAAATCTCGTCCTCCAAATGCCAGCTCCGCCCTCCCTTGAAGCCACGCCCCCGACCTGCCTTCTCAATTCCTCAGCAGCAGCCTTCCTCCCGCCCTGGCTCCGCCCCCTCTCCTGCCATTTACTTGCAGTCCCGCCCCCCCCGGGCGGGTCCACCCGCCGCGAAGGCCCCTGGGAAGAGGCGGGGAACAATATGGCGGATGGCGAGGAGCCGTAAGTGTCGTGGTTTTGCCGGAGCGCCGGGTTGGGCTGGTTTGTGAGTGAGCGCGGCAGTGGGCGGTCACCGCTGCCACCCGGGGACTCCCCAACCCCCGCCCCGTCCCCTCGTCCCCCCCATACCCTTGCGGCGCCCTCTGTGGAGCTTGATGCTGACCCTTCTTTTATTCTCTCTTTCTTTTAGGGAGAAGAAAAGAAGGAGAATAGAGGAGCTGCTGGCTGAGAAGTTAGTGCTGCCGGGAGGCCGGGGTCCTCTCCGGAGACCCCCGCCTCCCTTCAACCCCAGGCCTAGGGGACCAGCCGCAGCGGGCCCGGGGTCTGGGAGGGGGGCACCCGGAGCAGGCCGCGCGGCCTCACCCCTGACCCTGTCCCCATCCCGGGCCACCGACCGGTCGCTCCCCGGTTGTGCTCCTGCAAAAGCCGCCCGGTGGCCCCCTCTTCCTCCAACCCAAATTGTTAGAGCTGGGACCTTGTGGCAAGTGAATCCAATTTAAATCTAAATGGACGCGAGGCCTGTTTTGGGTCCTTAATACACATTATAAACTTTTTATGAACACTGTGCGTCAAGAATTGTGTTAAAACGTGTCAGTTTTGCAAAGCAATTGGGTCTTACAGGGTATGTCGACCCCAGCACTTGCTCGCTCATTTATCCCACAACCTGTATCAGTTACTTATTTTCTTGATGCCACAGATTTATAGTTCTTTTCATATGACCAATCCTACATGGTTCCCCTCCCTCTGTGGCAGGGAAAAAAAATACTCCTGTAGTGGGTGTGGTGAATTCATAATTTCTGTGTCACTTCTCAGTAGTACTTTGGTCTTTCCCATGTTTCCCTCATGGTTGAATTTCAAATGCAAAAGTTCACATTTCTTTCCCACTTTCTAATTCCCCCTCCCCCCCTTTTTTGCATGAAATGGCAAAGTTTGCATGCTTGCTGTATGCCAAGAGCAGTCCTAAGTCCTCATTGTAGTTGTATCTTTATCTCATGACCATCAGAAGTAGCTGCAATCTACTGTTGAGGTCTCTGACAGTTGAGTAATGTTCTCAAGGTTAGGATGTGCTTGGTTGTGGAATGAAACCCAACTATGCAATACGTGTTGATCTTTTTTTGTAAAAATTTGATATCACTAATATATTTGAGGGTAGAAATTGCACAGTTACAGGAAAGTTATCACAACCAAACATGAATCTATAATTATAAAGTGCACGTGTTTTTAAAGAGGAGTCCACTTTATTTTGTTGCATAGTCTCAAAGATTTCTTGATGGTAATGCTATCTAACTGTGGTATAATTTTAACCTAAACATTTTGTGTATGTAGTGACAGTATTAACAGAGGACTTTAAAAAACATCCTGGAACCTCTAAGGAAAAGAAATGTTGAGAGTTGCTTTTATCCAAAATGTTTTGTAGATCGCACCTGTCCAATTTGGGAGGAGCCACAGATAGTATTAGATTTGAAGCAGCATAGTTCTCAAAGTTTCCCGCACCCTCTTCATCTGCTGACTCCCTACCCAAGTGTACTGAAGGAACAGATTGTGGACTTTCACAGTGACTGTAAATACCACACAGAGGGAAGTCCTTTTCTCACTTTGATCTTTGGGTGCTGAGGAAGCTAGGAAGAGACTGGCTTATTTAGTCAAGTAGGTAAAAAGTGCTTTTTTGTAACAGAAGAGCCAAAATTGGGAAACTATAACCACAGCTCAGTTTTCCTTTTTGTTTGAGCAGGTCTGATGTGATTATGTTTACATCTGGGGAGACCTAATAGTTGTAGGCGTGGCTTTTTCATACTGATCTTTGCAGCGGAATTTACTGTGTTCTATGCAGAATGGCTGTTGATGGTGGGTGTGGGGACACTGGAGACTGGGAAGGTCGCTGGAACCATGTAAAGAAGTTCCTCGAGCGATCTGGACCCTTCACACACCCTGATTTCGAACCCAGCACTGAAGTGAGAAACATTTATTTTTAAATAACTGCTCTAATAGTTTTATATTTCAAAAATAATAAAATGCTTCCTTTTTAATTTGCTGGAATTCAAATCACTAAAGCTGTTTTGTGAAATTAAGTTATTGTGAGTATTGAACTAAATCTTTACGATTGACTTTATGTAAATGACTAGTTATGCATTTTTACATTTTTCATGTAAGTTTAAAATTTTCAAGAGTAGAATAACTTGATGATTTCATATTCTGGTATGCTTAAAATTCTAGTTTAAAAGTATTCCTAAGATACATTTTCCCTTTTGTAGCACTACTATGGTAAATTAATTCTTATAATACTAAGGTATACTTACTTAGGTATTTTAGTTGGAAATCTTTACTTAACATTGACTATAATTAACTGAATGTTAAAAACGTGCTTTCAGTATAATATATATTTTGAACTTTGGCTTAAAGCAGATATTTAATTAGATAAAAATTTGTTTCTTACTACGAAGTAGGAAGAAAACTTACTCTATATAGTGTGTTTTATGTCTTTTGTGTCCATGAAGAGATTTTGAAATAGAAAAATTACTCATTAAGTTGTTGTGTAAACTCTTGAATTTGGCTCAGTAGCTTGTGTAAATGGATCCCTTTCATCCTTTAATGGTGAGCAGAATGCTTAGTATTAATTCTTTCTTTGGATAATACAGTTAAATCGTATTTTCTTGTACTTTGAAAGTGTTTCTGTACACTAGCTTAAGACTGTCACTTCTCTTAAGCAATTTTTCTAAGTTGTTTTTCTGCTGATTTGGAATTTCCTGAATTTCTACCATTTTATAAGTTTTATTCATTGTTCAAAGGAAACTGTAACTACTCTTACCTCGTTTTTTCTTTTTAGATCTTCAAACACTGATGTCCCTTTATCTTCTGGTTTTGACATTTACATATTTTTTTTTGTTTTGAGAAAAATTAGTTAAGTAATTGATATCTTCCCTAAAATTTAAAAATTAAAAAAACATAAAGAATGGGCGAAGGAAAATAGAAAATACTGTAGTAAGGTTGTTACATTACCTATGAAATGATAAATCAACCATTGAAAAAAAGATAAAAATAACTAGGGGTAGTTTTTAAAATTTTTCTTAGATTTATTTTTATTTTATGATCTGAGTAGTTTTGCCTTCACGTACGTATGTGCACTGTTCGCCAAGTGCTCACTCAAAGGTCAGTAGAGGGCCCTCCATACTCTGGAACTTGAGTTATGGATGGTTGTGAGCCACCACATACGTGCTGGAAACCAAACCTGGACCCTCTGCAGGAGCAACAAGTGCTCTTTTATCTGTTGAGTCGTGTAGCCCCAGAGGTACGTTTTCTGGTTAGAAGTACGCTTTTAATTTCATATAGTCAACTTTAAGTGTTAAGATCGAAACTATGAAATCATTAGGCTTTCAAAATTTGTAATTACATCTCTTTTATAATTTGAAGTAATTGATGATATGCCAGGTGTGTTTCTTATAGATAAATGCCCTTTTTATGCCTACATTAACACCTATCATGTGGCTTGTTGCCTTGTTCGTGGGTCCTGTAGTGCTCGCCTAGCGTCTAATGTGCCTTTCCTTCTTTGCAGTCGCTCCAGTTCTTGTTAGATACATGCAAAGTTCTAGTCATTGGAGCTGGTGGCTTAGGATGCGAGCTCCTGAAAAACCTGGTAATATATCACATATAACATACTGTTCTCTTAGAGATGAGTAAGTCCTCTTACTTTTTTGTCATATGAGAAATGCCTTCATATCATGATTGTTAATTTTTCCTTGTACACTTATTGGGTAAGTTTAGCAGGCCAGGTTCTATACAGTAATTAAAGTACGTAATGTTACTTTGGAACTCTGAGAGGCTTAAAGTCATTTTTTCTTCTCTGCTCTTTTTTGTTGTTGCTTCCTTTTGCCTAATGCTAATTTTATTTCATTGAAGTAAATAACAGAGTAGTTCATCTTTTAATGTGTAATCTCAAATAATTTATCATTTCTTTTGATTTTCCAAATAATCCAGTTAGGTGATATTTTGTGTCATTTTATCCAAAAGGGCATATTGAAGTGCAGCAAAATTAAAAGACTCAGTTTTTCTCCTGGATTGTAGTGAGGTTCTTAGAATCTAATTCAGGTCATCAGTTCTTTCTTTTTCACTGAAGTATTGCATGTCTTAAGAAGGTTGTTCTTGATGACCATATGATAGTGAATGCCAAGATTTGGGATAGCTGAGCCTTTACTAAATCTATTTCTTTCTACTGTTTAGAAATAAATAGTTGTGATGTAATTGCGTTCTTAGAGTTCTTATCACCATGAAGTAGCTTTGTAGAAGTTTCTGTCTGTTTAACAGCTTGAGGAAGGAGAGAATTAATGTAGGGCAGCTGTATGCCTGGCTTCTCACTGTGTAGAAGGTGGATAACTAGAAGATTAAGCAGCTTCTAGCCAGAGACAGGACACCAATAACCTGCCAAGAATTAAATTTACTTACTTACAAGGTTTATTATTTACATTTATAAGTGATTTGCATACATGTATGTATACCACATGGTACTTGCTGCCCAGGGAGGTCAGAAGAGGGTGTCACACTGAAACTGGAATTACAGAAACTTGTGATCCACCAAACCCAGGTCCTCTGCAGGAGCAGTAAGTGCTCTTAACTGCTAAGCCATGTCTTCAGCCCTGACAGCTACACTAATTTGCTAGGAAACAGTAGTATTGCTCCTACCAAAGTTTTAAAATGAAATAGCTCACTCTGTTTAGTGCCTGTGTTAGTTCTGTGGGGATTGTAGGCCACTGTGATCTCTGTCTGCAGTGAATTCGAAATTTGGGGAGATAAGTCTTACTGAAATAAATAACAGTATGTATGGAATAGTGTAGTGTTCCAAAATGGTAGCACCCTCTCAGACTTATACCAGCAGTGTGAAACTGTAAAACTTATAGAAGGGAAGAGTTTGTGGAGCTGGCCATGTTTTTTTGTTCAGGCGTTAGGCATGAACAAGTCCGTTAAAGCTTAACTTTTTCATTTTGAAACCATGATTTACTGTTGCAGTGGATACTGACTTTTAAATTACTGTCATTAAAGATTAGATCTGAGGATTATTCGTCAAGCAACATCAGGGAGTAGTTCTGTTATTAATTTGCAATATTCTGATCTTTTACGCTCATACACAGAATGTAGGCCTTTACTTTATAATTTGTTATTTTGCTTGTATTAAATGTAAGCATAGAAGACAAGGATAATTTTTTTCTTCTTCCTTTTCATTGACTGTAAGCCCCCTAAGGGCTCATTCTAAAAAGTCTAAAAGGGAGACAATGACATTTATATCACTGATTAATCAAATGCTTATTGAGCCTCTTCTTGTAAATGGCAAGCACCATTTAGGTGATTAAAAACTCAAATGGAGTGATATAGACAAGTGATTATTTATGGGAGTCATATTTTTGTTGGAGAAAATGAGAGAGAGAGAGAAAGAGAAAAATGTCAGATGGTAGTAAATGGATGGAGAAGGAAGAGTGAGTAGGCAGCTGGTGGTGAAGGGCAGCGTTTTCAGAAGGTGCAGTTTGAGTGGGGACTGAGGAGTGTGCTAGAACACTGAGAAGGAAAGGTTCTAGGCAGAGAGGGCAGCAGATGGAAAGCTATCTTTGTGAGTTTTCATAGATGTTTTAAACCTGAATGCTTGTGCATTTTTGGCCTTTGACAATATTCATGCATTCTATGCATTGTATAGACTTTATTTTAAGCCAAAGAATGCAATTATATAGAATTTATTACTGTAAATGTATGGATTTGGGACATATATATTTTTAAATATTTATTTATTTATTGTGTATACAATATTCTTTCTGTGTGTATGTCTGCAGGCCAGAAGAGGGCACCAGATCTCATTACAGATGGTTGTGAGCCACCATGTGGTTGCTGGGAATTGAACTCAGGACCTTTGGAAGAGCAGGCAATGCTCTTAATCGCTGAGCCATCTCTCCAGCCCTGGGACATATATTTTTGTTATGTTTTAAAAGAAAGGAAACCCTTGCCTAATTAGATTGTTTTTCTTTCCACAGGCATTGTCTGGTTTCAGACAGATTCATGTTATAGACATGGATACTATAGATGTTTCCAATCTAAATAGGCAGTTTTTATTTAGGTAAGTTTTGATATTTTAAAAGTTCTGATAAACATTTGAATTTTTGTACATTGCAAAACTTTCACATTTTAGGTAAATATTCGAAACTATATTCTGAGTATTTGGAGGATGATTGTTTTATAAGCACATGTATGCATTTTGTGTGCCTTTTCCATTCTGACAAGTTTTTAATATATTAATATAAAATAGACCAAGATGATTGGTTATTGATAACAAGCCACTCCTTTACTTTGTAACTACCCTGATTACAGTAACAGAGGTAACTAATTTGGGCATGGTGCCAGGAAGGGTGACTTGCCATTCTATTTATGACACTGTTTTAGTTGGCAGCAGTTGATTAGTTCCTGATCCTGTAAATTTTGTAACAGTCTTCACTAAAACCACACTGGAGTTTTTTTTGTGTGTGAGACTTGTAAAAGCACAAAAATACATTTAGAAGAATCTTGGCACTCCACTGTTTTCCTCTTCCATATGTGAAGAACTGTCTGCAGAGTGCTTGAATGTGGTACTCAAATCAAGATTTCTGATTTTTAGTCCTTTTTTATGCAAGTAAGGACAAGAATAAAATTGTTGGCAACTTCAAAAGGGAAAAGAATAATTCTCTATTGAAGAAGAGAAAAATGTCTCCTTTAAAATTCTAATTTTAAATAAAATAAAATTTTGATTTGTTATTTTTACTTTTTAAAAAATATTTGGACTGCTGGGTATGAAGGAAATTAGTAAGGGTTCAATGTCTAGGAGTACAAATGTGTTATAGGAAGTTCTAATTAAGCACTAACTCTTACATATGAAGGGTAACTCATTTCCATGAGCACTATGAGGAAATAATAAAAAGAAAATATTCATGTTTGTCCCTTTGTACTTAACATCTAGTTATTGTCAAAAAGTGATGCTTCCAGACTAGTTTCTTAAAAATGTTGATAATGTCTTTGAAATTTATTCTTTCTTTTAAAACAAGGTTAAAGGAGCTGGGCCTAATGCTGCATACCTATAATCTTAACACTCAGGAAGCTGAGATAGGAGGATCTGGGCCAGCCTGGGCTACATAGTAATATCTGTCTCAAAACAAACAGGAAATAACAAACCCCACCATGCTTTAGGGACCTCTGATTCCTATTGAAGTAGGACACGCAGGATGAAGGTGATACCTAGGGGGTTCTTCCTTTCAAAGAGTGAATCTCTTTGTGTATATTTTACTAAGACCAGCATAAAAAAACAGTAAAGCAGGCCGGTGACTTCCAATTGTAATTCCAGCATTTGGGAGGCTGGAGCAAGAGGATTAGTTGGAGTTTGTAATAACCTTGGGGCTATCCCAAGTTATAGAGTGAGATTTCTGTCCTAGAAAACCAAACCATCGAGATTCTGGGATTCAGGCAGTATACTTGGAAGGATCTGGGTCTAGGATATTTTTATATTAGGAATTGTCATGGTTGAAAGTGGCCACTAAACACACTGTTATACTTTGCCTGGGGGTCGGACCCTACTCTTCAATAGTTTATATTTTCAGTTTAGAAATACAATTAGACTTGTCATATTGGGACTATCAGCAAGGGTTTAATAACTCTGTATTTAATTTATTGCTTGTATAAAAATCCTTAGGGGTTGATGGAAAGTTGGCTTATCATTTACGAGCACATATTGTCCCTGCAGAGGACTTAGGTTCAGTTCTTAGCAACAATGTCAGGTAGTTCACATCTGCCTATAATTCCAGCTCCAGGGAGTCTGGGCCAACTGTAGCCTCCACAGACATCTGCCCTCACATATACATACTCACGTGCAGATAGAAATACATGTAATTAAAAAAAATAAAGATATGTAGTTAAAATATTTTTTCTAAGTATGTTGTAAATTGTTTATGTTTGGAAGCTAATTATGTAGACCATCTAAATTCATATTATGGATGATAAGCTAGATGATTTTTTTTTAAATTGTGACAGGGTTTCTCTGTGTAGCCCTGACTGTCCTGGAACTCCCTCTGTAGACAAGGCTGACCTCGTAGTCAAAGAGATTCCCCTCCCTCTGCCTCCTGATTATTGAGTTTAAAGGCATGAGCCCCCACTGCTTGGCTATGGATGACAATTTAATGTAATATTTTCTGTAGGCCTAAAGATGTTGGAAGACCCAAGGCTGAAGTTGCTGCAGAATTCCTAAATGACCGAGTTCCTAACTGCAATGTGGTCCCGTATCCTTTCAACAGAGAGAGTTCTTCTCTAGACTTTTATACTTAGAAATGCATGCATTAAAAAAAAAATCAACTTATTTCTAACCGTCACTCATTCAGAACTCTATTCCATTTAAATGGTGGGCAAGCAGGGACCTAATGCACACTGGAAACTAGGTTGAAGAAAAAACAGGAAGCAGTGGAGGAGTGGCAACTGGGAAACCAGGATGCGGCCCAAGATAGTCTGTCCTGGATGGATGTCTATAAAACAGATTTCCCAGGTCTCAACAGTGGGGCTACATAGAACGTAAATATCCTCCCTTGTAATTCGGTTTCCTTACAAAGAAGCCTTTATTTCCAATTTCATACAGATTTACTTCAGAATAACATTTACAGAAGCTGTAAAGGCCATACAGAGAAGCTGTACCTCTTTCGTGTTTCTGTTAAAAACATGGACATAATTTAGAGCAGTATCATTTGTATTAGAAGTTCCTTTATTAGAAAAATTAAACAAACATATTTTGTACAATGTTTGTCTTTTTTTTTTATTTTTGAGATGGTCTTTTTATGTAGCCCTGGCTGTCCTGGAATTTCCTGTGTACACCAGGCTGGCCTGCCTCCCAAGTCCTGAGATTGAAGGTGTGCAGTTCTTACGTTTTTAAAATGTTAGGTACGATGACTGACTGATTCTCACAGCTAATAGAACAGGATTCATGAGTAGCCTGCAAATACAGGATGATGACCAGTAGTTGCTGATTGGGTGAAAAAAAGACCTCCAGCTGAATTTTATGAGGGGCGGAAAATATCCGCACTTTACTTCAAGGCCCCCAGACCTCTTAAAACCCAACAAACCCATCTGTACTAACAACTAAAAAAGCTATCGGAATTCTCTGTATAGTTTTTATATAAGGCTCCAGTAGTTTGACATTTTTTGATAGTCTGTTTTTTATTGAAAAGAATTTTTTTCTCTCAATATATTTTCATCATGTTTTTCTCCTCTCCCAAGTGCTTCCCACCCCTATCCACTCAACTTTGTCTTTTTTCTCTTTAAAAAAAAGACCCCATCTAACCCCCACTAAAATATAAATCAAATAAGTAAAAGACCAATAATGCAAAAAATGCCAAAGTAAAGCAAAATGAAACAAGTTCACAAAAATGCCATAACATTGTGTGTGTGTGTGTGTGTGTGTGTGTGTGTGTGTGTGTGTGTGAAAGAGAGAGAGAGAGAGAGAAGACAGACAAACAGGAGAGACAGACCTGCCTTAATTTGTGCACTGTGGCATACAAATACATGCATAAGAATAATTTAAAATATTTTTGTCAGAAAGTAGGTTTATATTCATATCAGATTTCTTGAATTCCACATTGATAGATACTTTTTTATGGCATTGTTAACATTACTTCAGAAATTTGAAACTTGGCAACTTAAGTTCCTTTACATGGATTCAGACATTTCAACAAGATTCAAGATTTTAATGATACTTTCTACCGACGTAAGTTGTCCACTTGAAACGAAATTCTTGTTAATTCTTACAGTTTGTTGTGGTTTTTTTTTTCCCCCATTCTGGTTGCTGGAGTGTCCTTTCATAGTTGGTTTCTCTCTGTGGTGTTTTGAGTAAGCTTGTTGGCTAACTGAAATACCACTGTCCTGATTCTTAGTAGATGTCACTAGCTGTTTACTTGAATAAGAATTACTGAAGGATTAGGAGGGTGGGCAGATTCTAATAAAATTAGTTTTGTTTTTTTCTTACATAGTGAATTACTTTGCATAACTGCTTTTGTTTAAATTGATAAACTGTGTTCAAAGCAGTTTTGGAGACACAGCAAAGTTGGATGGAAGGCGGAGAGTTCTGTTGTTGTCTGGAGATGGATCAGATACAGTCCATGGGCTGGTGTCAAACCACTGTTACAGCAGTGCATTTGTAAGCACTAGACTTAGCGGATGTGGTGGGGCCAGCAGTAGGGAGGCTGAAGGAAGAGGATGTTAGACCAGCCTAGGACTATGTAGTGAGACTGGATCAAAAATTACATGGATTTTTTTTTTCCTCATAGAATTTCATATTATTGTATGTGGCCTGGACTCTATCATAGCCAGAAGATGGATCAATGGAATGCTGGTAAACTCTTCAGTGTTGGCATTGTTTAAAGATCTTTGCTGTTGCTTTTGACATAGCCCAAAGCAAAATTGTCATATATTTGTAAAATAAGAATTTGTTTAATTTTAAATTAAGTAGATATACCACTGTTATTGCCTGTCATTGGTTTTCAGTGAGAAATATTTATCCTTAGGAATAATTTCTTCATTCTGATATGTTGCTGAGTCCCAAACTGATTCCTAGAATTTGTTGGAAGCATGCTGCTGCTTTTACCCCCATTTCCTGTACCCTTCTTTAAACCCTTTAAAACCTTTTCCTAGATATCTCTTCTAAATTACGAAGATGGTGTGTTGGATCCAAGCTCCATTGTCCCTTTGATAGATGGAGGGACCGAAGGCTTTAAAGGAAATGCCCGGGTGATTTTACCTGGAATGACTGCTTGTGTTGAGTGCACCCTGGAACTTTATCCACCGCAGGTCAGCAGAAAAACTGCATTTCTTTCTTAGTATCTGGGGCTGTAATTAGTGCTGGTTATTACATTTAGTCAGTGTCTGGTGTTTGTATTGCGGATAAACATATATTTAAAGATATGCTAAGGCCTACGGGTATAGGTTAGTATTTGCCATAATGAGGGCATGGGCTTAAACTTGTGCACACCAGCATCAAAACAAAAGCAAAATCTAAACAAAATTTACTAAGAAGAATAAAGTATGACAGTCTACTGTGAGAGAAGACACTATCTATCAAGATGGTCTTATTTTTATGGTTTCATACTTGGCAGGGTTTTTTATTTTGTTTTGATTATGTCTATGTATATGTGTGAGTATGTAGGTATGTGAATGCAGTGTCCCTGAAGGTCAAAGTTGACAGATTCCTCTGTAGCTGGTAGGTTGGTATGAGCTGCCTAATGTGGGCACTGGGAACCAAGCCCAGGTCTTCAGAAAGAGGACTATACACTCTTAACTGTCTTTCTAGTCCCTTAATGTTTTGTTTAAGAGAAATTACAAAGTTATTCGGGATAAATTATATTCTGTTTTTTTCCCCTGTATACCTGCAATTAATCTGTAGTTTTATTGTCCATGGTTCTAGCTACCTGTAGACTGCAAATATCAAAGCAAAATTCCAGAAATAAATGATTTATTAGATTAAAATTGCCCTCCCCCAACTTTTTAAGTTGCATCCATTTCTGGGTAATGTGAAATTTTGAATCATCTTGCACTGTCACAATATACTTTTAGATTTAATTTTAATTGTTTATTTCGGTGAATACATGTGTACACATGGGTGCAGGTGCATTAAGAAACTGGAAGCGTTAGGTCCCCGGAGTTGTGAGTCACCTGATGTGGGTGCTCCTCTGCAAGAGGGGTTAACATTCTTTCTCTAGTCTCTGAATTCTTTTTTATTAATGTTATTTTAATCTCTTATTGTTCCTAATTTATATGCTGAACTTTATCTTAAGATATAGTGTGTGTCCCTAGGGTTCAGACATTTGTTGGGGTCTTAGGACATACCTTTCTTGAATAAGGAAGGTCTACTGTAATTATTTTAGAGAACAAAAGTACTAGGAAAAGGACTGGTGAGAGATGGCCCAGCAGATAAACGTACTGAGTTCATGGTGGAAGGGGAGAGTCGTAAGTTTCCTTCTGACCTTCACATATATATTGTAGCATGTGCTCCTACACACATACATGCAAAATAAATGTAATGAAAATTGAAAAATAGGATTAAGAGCGATCTTTTCAAGGATGGTTTCTTTAATCTACATACTCATTTTAAAAAATAGTTACAATTTGATTTATAAATGGTAGCAGCCCTGAGTATTAACTTATAATTGATTTAATTCTGATTGTGCTTTTGTGTTGATATGTATTATACCTTCATTTTAAACACAGGTAAAACAAAATCATTCACATTTCAGAATTTATTTAATATTTTTCTTCTCATTGCCAAAAGAACTTGGGTGAATATGCTCCAAAAATGTAGAATGAATGTGTCTCTTTATAGGCAGCTCAACGTAAAGGTGCTGATTCCCTCTTATTAGTATAGCAGTTTGAAGGTTTTATAGTGTTTTGTTATATAAGAGTTGAAATAAATGTTATGAACTAAAGCAGACCTGGACATTGCATTTTAAAATAACTCATTATTTAAATTTTACTAAGAAAGACAAATTGTTTTTTAGGTCAATTTCCCCATGTGCACCATTGCATCTATGCCCAGGCTCCCAGAACACTGTATTGAGTATGTAAGGATGTTGCAGTGGCCTAAAGAGCAGCCTTTTGGAGGTACTTTAACAGTCTAGACTTTAGAAAGTAATATATTATTCATTTTGACATTCATATAAAAATTGCCTTATGGTTATATATGTCTGTCTCCCCCAAAACAGATGGGGTTCCATTAGATGGAGATGACCCTGAACATATTCAGTGGATTTTCCAAAAGTCTGTAGAGAGAGCATCACAGTATAATATTAGAGGTGTTACCTATAGACTCACTCAAGGTGAGTTAGTGAACCGTCGTGATTGTGGGATTGGTGGGGATGCTCTGTGGGGAGGATGCTTGACTAGAGAGTGTTTAGAGATTGCCATCCATTTGAAGTTCATTAAGGAACTATGGAAGTGATAGTTTCCCAGTTACCCGAGGTAGGAGGGAACTGAGTTTAGCAGAATGGGTACTTCTCAGCTAGTGGGGACTGAATGGTATGACCAACAGGTACTTACACACAATTGGAAGAGACCTGGCTTCAAAGTCTGTTTACTTCATCTTTCACTAAAGGGAAAATCATTCCCTTCTGGGAGCAGTCAAAAGTTCTATATTTTAAGCAGGAATCTATGTCTTGTTTGGTTTGAGTTTTGTCCAGTATCTTACACAATCTAGTTGCTTTTTATTTTATTTTTAAATTTTTATGTTAAGAGTGTTTTGCCTGCTTGTATGTACATGCATTTTGTGCATGCTTGGTGCCCGCAGAGGACAGAAGAAGACATTGGATCCCCTGGATGAAGTTACAGAAAAATGTGGGCTTCATGTGGGTACTGAGAACTGAACTGGGGTCTTCTGGAAGAGCAGTAAGTGCTCTTAACTATGAGCCATCTCTCCAGTCCCTAATTCCTCTTCTACTCGTAGTTTCTAACTGTTGAGCACAGCAATTGCATTTTCTCCACATTTGTAATTTTTACCACTTGCAAGTCTTCCTGTTTCCTCAGTGTCACAGGATTCAAGTTTTGGTGTTCTTCCCTGACCAGCATCCAATTATCCATCCTTGGATCTTCTAGGCCTGAGTGCAGCATTTTAGGGTTAGCCTTATCTTTGAAGATGGGTACAGTCCTAAAGGAGAGCCGATGTGTTGCTATCATTTGTTGTTTGTATTGATGTTCTATTTCCATTCTTTGATGTTGCTATTCATTAAAATCTGCATATCTTTTCACCAATGCAGTTGCTAGGCCTTCTCTTCCCCTTTTCTCCATCCTCATTCCTCTTCTCTCACAGAATTCTAGAATTCTAGGATTGTTTATTGAATTTGTATATTGGTTCTGGAGATTGCCTAGGGTCTTAGCAGCCTTTTAGATTTGTCTCGATCAGTTATCAAGTCTTCTTGGGTCTCTCAGACTTCTTCCCTGTCTTTACAAGGAAGCCATGAAAGATTTTTTTAGATGCTCTACAGAAGCCTGGGTGTTCTGTCCTGAGTGCTGAATCAGTTACAGTCCCTGAATGTGTCTCCTCTAACGTGGACTCACAATGAGCAGTCTTCCTGCTCAGCCTTGGTGGCTAGTGTTCCAGCCCCATTTTAGTTCATCCCTTCTGGAGTTTTACTAAATTCTCTAGAAAGTGCTTTGTGTTCTTTTTGCAAGTTTGTCATTTCTCTTCTGTGATTATTTCCTTTTATTTACGCATATTCTAGTATTGTCACTTGAAAGTTCAGTTCATGCCTACTGCCTGTTTTCTCACCTTTCCCTCCACCAGCCTGCCTTGTGCTCCTCCTGCTGAAGCGCTGGGGACACATCTTGCAGTGCTTCTTCACCCTCCAGGATCATGTGGTTTCTTCTAGAGCAAGCAATTCAAGTGCAGTTAGAAGACAGTCTTTCTTTGTACTATAGGAGATGGTTTGTTCATTACTTAGATGACCATGGCGTGCAAATCATAGTCAAAATGAGAACTGTGTGTCGAATTTTGTGTGGTTGGGACTGTAGTGTAAAAGATACTTTTTAAAAGTTGGTTTTTTAAATTGTGGTATTTTGTGAATAGAATGACTTGAACTAGCTAACTATATCAAAAATAATTAGGCAACTTTTTCTTTACACCTATTCAGGCTTTTCAGACTCTAGTACAGTGTATCAGTATATAAGACTAATGTGGGATGGGCATGTGTGGGCCCAACCTATTCCTACATGTATACTAGGGATAGTGTGGATGTGACATTTAGTTTCTCAGCCTTGCTTTCCTTCTGTTTAGAACAAGGATGGTGTGACTAGCTTCACCATGTCAGCAACATTAAATAATATTTACTGTTCACACTTTCACGCTGTCCCTGGAGTATAAGGAAACACTGCTGTGTTACTTCTTTATCTTCATGTAAAACTACAAAGACTATTTCAATACTATTATACTTAATATTTCCAACACACTATAGAATACTGGGAATGTGAAAGAAGATAGTTTATGTTTAAGCTTTTTAGGATTTTAGGGTTTTTTTTGGGGGGGGGTTCATTTGTTTGCTTTGAGATAGCATTTTTCTGTGTAGCACAGACTGGCCTCAAACTCATGGTTCTTCTGCTCCAGCTTCCCAAGTGCTGGGAATAGGCACATGTCACTGAGACTGGCTGTGCCTAATTTCATTTCTTGATTTGAAAGCCTGAAATATCAAGTTTCAGAAAATGGGATTTAACAATCAGGCTTTAAATGATTTAATTCTATTACTTTAACTTAAGGTGACTGTTTATTTAAACAGAGCTAGAAAGATGACTTAGCTGTCAAGAATTCTTATTATCCACAACTGCTTCTACCTCTAACTTCTGGGGATCAAATAGACTCTTTTGGACTCTAAGGACCCCTACACTCACATGTTAACATACCTGCATATGCATGTATGTGTGTACATACGTGCAGACACACGTACTCATGCCCCCACACATAATTGAAAATAAATCTTGAAAGAAACAAAAAGAAAAGAAATGACCATTTTTTATTTTGTGAATTTTTTCAGGGGTAGTAAAACGAATTATTCCTGCAGTAGCTTCTACAAATGCAGTCATCGCAGGTAAAGCAAAAAAGATTTTCTCAGTTTTACTTTTTGCTTTGATATTTGACTTAATATCTAAATTGACATTTTAGTAGTTACTTGTGTTCTAGGAATTTGATATCTTCTTGGGTGTGTTACCCAAACCAAATATGTTACTGTATCCTCTGTATATCTTGTATCATTATCACAGTAAAGGGACATCTTAGCATGTCTTTTTACTCATAGGCCTAGATTTTCATTCATCTAAGAAAGATGAAGGAAAAGGTGCATTGCTGGATTATGTAAAATAAATATAAAACTTGTTCTTTCCTGTGTTTTTAAAATTATGTATTTTAACATCTATTTTTTTTCTATAGAAATTTATCTGATTTATCACTCACTTTCAAAGTATTTAATTTTTGCTGAGTTAAAATGCCTTTATTTTCTCTCTAGCTGTGTGTGCCACTGAGGTTTTTAAGATAGCCACAAGGTAAAACAAGAGTTTTATTTTTAACTTGAATATAGCTCCATGTTAAAACCTTGCTCAATTAGATAAACATCAACATTTTTTTCATTACAGTGCTTATGTTCCCCTTAATAATTACTTGGTGTTCAATGATGTAGATGGACTGTACACATACACATTTGAAGCAGAGAGAAAGGTTAGTAGTGTTAAACTAATGGAAATGTTTTCACTGTTCAGCCCTTGCTTTTATATATTATTAGCTAGGAATATGAAGGTAAATATTCATGTTCTGAGCTACTAAAGCTAATCATATGTATTTTTTGTTGGTTAGCTTAAATAAATAATGTAAAGCAAAATAATTTAGAGGGAATTCTATATTACAAAAACAGACTTTAAAGCAGAAAATATTCCAATATGCATGATGTTAAACAATTTTATTTCTATATCTTTTCTTAGAAAAAAGACTGACATTAGTTTGTGTCCCTCTATTCTTTTATGTCTGCAGGAAAATTGTCCCGCATGTAGCCAGCTTCCGCAGAACATTCAGTTTTCCCCGTCAGCTAAACTACAAGAGGTTTTAGACTATCTGACCAATAGTGCTTCTCTGTAAGTGTTCAGAGTCTTTGTTATTGTAAAAATCATTTAAATTTTAAAATGAGCAAGAATTATTTCTTTCAATAAAATGTTTGCTACTTTATTTAGGCAAATGAAGTCTCCAGCTATCACAGCCACATTAGAGGGGAAGAACAGGACACTTTACTTACAGGTCAGTAGTCTTCAGTTTTACATTTTTTAAGGAAATTGTATTTTTTTCTTAATGTGCTATACATTAAAATATTGTTTTCCAGTCAGTAACATCTATTGAAGAACGAACAAGGCCCAATCTTTCCAAGACGTTAAAAGGTATTTTAAGCAAATGTATATATTAATAGTTTCCTTTTTTAGTAGTAGCAAATGTCTGTGCGTGCTCTTGCTCTCTTTCTCTCTCTCTCCCCTTCTCTCCCTTCCTCCCTCTCTCCCTCTCTCCCCATGTATGTCTGTCTCTCCCCAGTACCAGGGTTCACAATCAGTAACACTTGACTTTTTAGGAAGGTGTCTCATTATTGCTTTCTCCTAAGCCTTTGGTGTTTGGAGATAGGATGCCTTGCTTTTGCTTTAGCTGGTGTTGAACTTGTTTGTAGCCCAAAATTGGCTTTGAAATTATATTTGCACTTAATTAAATATGACCAAGTCATTATTACTTATACTATAAAAGTAATAGAATTTATGGTTCTTTATTTTAATAGAAAAAATATAAAACTCCAAGAAATAAAATTTTATCTCTTTAAAAAAGAATTGGATTTTGAGACATATCTGAACTATACAACTATTATAATTTGTGTGTATGAATATATTCTTTTTGTTGAGGTACTTATTTATTTTTGTTTGTGCTAATGACACTCTTTCCTATTTTAGAATTGGGACTCGTTGATGGACAAGAACTGGCTGTTGCTGATGTTACCACACCACAGACTGTACTATTCAAACTTCATTTTACTTAAGGAAAATAAATCTATAAACAATAGAAAATTCATAGAAATAATATACTTTATGAATGCTAAGAAATATAATTGAAGAGTGGGGACATGAGGCCGAGGGGACATCCAAGAAAGGAAATTTAATTGATGTCATTTTTAGCATTAGTGTTGCTAGAATTTGACTTTTATATATATATAAAATGAGTGACTCTTTTTTAACTTTCTAAGTTTCTCTGGAAGACTGAACTTTGGGGTTGGGCTAGTCAGCATTCTCATTAGTCATATGGAAAACGATGCTTGGAGAGAAAGATTATGAACAAATGTATTGCTTCCTTAAAGGAGGACAAATACTGTCTTTTGTGTGAGTTTGTTATTATGGTCAAAGAACGTATTCCTCAGCTCTCATTTGAGAGTCTACATGCATAGAAATGTATCCTTGAATGGAAATGAGGAATTATGTTATAGGAACATTAAATATTACAACCTGACATCTAAGTATATTAGACATAGGCTGTTTCTTCATTACTACTCATATAATTGTGGCTATCCAAATGTGTATTATTGTAGAGTTTAACTTATCCATAATAATTTGTAAACAGTATTACAGACTAATAATACCTGTGCATGAAAATATGAAGTATTTTCATGTGTTTATTTGCAATGCCATAGAGACCACTATGCACAAACTTAAACCAAGACAATGGCTGTTCAAAGAAAATTAATGTTTAAACAGTTATCACTGATGCTTTTGCACTATTTATTAATAAAACCATACATTGTTTACTTTTTTATTGGAATTTTAAAGTATATTAATAATAAATAGTTCCATAGTGGTGTTGAATAATTTTTAAATATTTAAGTTATTACCAAATTTTTGTTGCATCTAAGTTAAAATTTTACTGATAAATGGGATGGCTAAATTTTTATAATAAATGCCTGTTTTTTTCAAAAATATTAAAATCAAAGTGGAATGCAAATACTAAAAAAAACCAAAAACCTGCTGTTGTAATATTTTAATGTGGGAACAAATAGTACCTGTTTTTTCATTCTTTGTTTTTTATTTAGTTTACGGTATTTGTTTAATTGTTTCATTGTACTTTTTTATTTGTAAGATTTGTGGAATGTTAGTGGATAAAGTCAGTCTGTTTTTCTGGTGTGGGTATGATGCAGGGATAGAACCTAGGACCTCCTGTTAATATTCAGGCATCTGTTCTGGCCTGCCCCTGGGATTCTGATAGGCTATGACCTCAGCTGTAGCCACTAGAGCACCTCCTGTTGCAGGGTCACTGTGTGTAACTGTGTTCCCTTTTTAAAGGGCCCTGACCCTCTTTCCCCCTTCTCTCTCTTCCTCTCCCTCTTCTGCTTCTCCTCCTCCTCCCCTCTCTCCTCCCTTCCTTTTCTCTCTCTCTGCCTGTCTTCTCTTTTGCTGATCCTGTCTCCAAAGGCTGGTCTCTCCTTCCCCTTCCCTCTTTTTACGTTCCCTTTTCCTTAATAAAAATCCCTCCACATGAACTCTGTTGCATGGCGTCTTTCTCTCTTGTGCTGCTTTTTTCTAAATTATAACACCTCCCACATGTTTGTCAAGTGCTCCATCACTGAGCCATACCCCATTTATTGTTCTTTCTAGCTCCATGTTGACAAATCTACTTTCATTATAAAACCATATGGAGAACTAGAGAGATGGCTCTCAGTAGTTAAGAGCACTGGCTGCTCTTCCAGAGGACCCAGGTTCAATTCCCACTACCCATATGGCAGCTCACAACATCTGTAACTCCAGTTCTAGGGGATCTGACACCCTCACACAAACAAATGTGAACATAAAATAAATAATAATGTTCTTTAAAAAACATTATATGCTTAAAAATAAAAGTAGGATCATTGGACAATAGTGGCTCAGGCCTTTTACCAGCAGTCGGGAGGCAGAGGCAGACCTGGTCCACAAAGATAGTTCCAGGACAGTCAGAGCTATTACACAGAGAAACCCTGTCCCAAAAAAACAAATAAAATAAACCACATGGTACATTTATATGTTTTATCCAAAATGTTACAGAGTCAACATAGTTTTTCTTTGTGGTTGTTTCTGGGGTCAGAATTAGGGCTGTGTACATTGCTAGGTCAATGTTCCATCACTAAACTGTATCCCCCAGCAAGTCTTTTTTTGTTTTGGTAAGATAAGGTTTCATTGCGTAATCTATATAGGCTTTGAACTTGTGTCCCTCCTCCCACTGCCCCTTTTGTGAGATGAGAGAGACGGAGGGAGATGAAAAAATAAGAGTGAAGTATCTACAACCAAGGAGAAGGGTTGCCTGCAGAGATGTGACGCTAGGAGAGGCACTCATCAAAGCAGGATGCTTCTACCTGAAGCGCTCAGAGGGCATGAACCATTTCAGACTTCAGGCTCCAAACCAGGGAAATGTTTGTGTAATGTTAAGCCGCTCCGTTGGTGATTGCTACGATAGTCTAGGGAATGTTTTGGAGAATTATAATTACATCATTTCTCCCTTCCCTTTCCTTCCCCAAACTCACTCATATACCCTTCCTTACTCTTTCAAATTACTGTCCCCCTTTCTCATTTGTTCCATACATACACATTTGTGTATACATATGTGTTTTTAGGTACATTAATTTAGCCTGATCACTGTATAATGTTGCTTGTATATGTTTTCTGGGCTGACCATCTGGTATTAGATAACCAACTGGCGTGCTCTTCCTGGGGAAGACTTGTTTCTCCCGCTCCTACTGTTATTCCTTGGAAACTACAGCTCCCAGACTTCTGGATCACCTGCGTGCGCGCTGGCCGCGCCCAGGTGAAGACCATTACTCCCAGATAACCTTGCGCCCCCAGTTAAAAGCGAGCGCTCCACGAGGTTTCGCTCTCTCTTGCTCCCTTGGTCCTTTTCCCCCTACCCTTGTGTGTCTTGCACGTCCCGCCCTTATCGTGTTCCCCTCTCCCCATTAAAGCGCACCCACGTGGGAGCCGCGTGTCTGTCTCTTCCTTTGCGTGCCGTCTATCCCGTGTTTGTCCACACACCCACGCCGCCCAGCCGCCGATTTAAAGGAATAATACCTACCATCGCCTTTCTCACTTGCCTCTAGTTCTTTGTGTAGGATTTTCACAAGGGGCTAAAACTCTGGATGTCTATGAAATTTAGCTTGTAAATGCTGGTAGAATTTTTTTCTTTAGCAGTATTAGACAAACAACTGCTAACTGGACAAGGAAGCCATCGACTTTAAATTTCATGACCAAGTGTGGGAAAAGTGCATTCAGACTATATCTTTTTTTTTTTTAGCAGTGTGCACAATATATACTGATGGGTTATAATTTATTGCTTCCCAAGTGTCTTAGCCCCACCAAACCGCTATTACAAATCTCCATAAAGTGACTGGTTCACAGACAACAAACTTGGGTGCTTACAGTTCCAAAGAGTGGGAGGTCCAAGATCAACATAGCTCTTGTCCTGATGAGGGCACGCTCCTACTTCTGATTCATGACTGGCATGGCCTTCGTACGTCGTGCTTAGAGGGCAAAGACACTCTGAGACCTTTAATTGGGCATTTATTCTTTCTGGCGTCACCTCGTGACTCGGGAAGTTTGTAAAAGACACACCCTTTGACAGAGGAGTGTGCTGATGAACGTCATTCAGATTACAGAACTCAGTTTCGAGGAAGGTTGTGTAGTTCGTAAGTGTTCAGGATTTGGAGACAGTGCCCATAAAGTCGGGCATAAAGTATTTTTCAAGTGCCAAGAGATGATATGTGAGGCCTAACCGCTGTGTTTACTGAGAGGCACGTGCGGCTCGGCTCGCCCCGGGAATTCCAGGCGCACACCGCCTTCAGTGCACAGAGAGCGAGCACAAACCTGGAAAGTCAGCCCTCAGCAACCGTCGCTAAGGTGTTCCCCGCCACTTCCACTCCCGGATGTGGCGTCACGCCACCGCCTCTGTCCTGGGCGGAACTCGGCTCCCGGATCTGGGGGTTGTGTACGTGGAAGGGCGGCGCATGCGCGCCAGCGCCGGGCTCAGCTGTGCGGGAGGCTGCGAGCGGCCGCGGGAGGCGGTGGGCCCTGGCCACCGCTGAGGCCGCCGGAGCCGGCTGAGCCGGCGCTGAGGAGGGGCCATGAGCTGGTTCAACGCCTCGCAGTTGTCCAGCTTCGCCAAGCAGGCCCTGTCTCAGGCCCAGAAGTCCATCGACAGGGTCCTGGACATCCAGGAGGAGGAGCCGAGCGCCTGGGCCGAGCCCATCCCGTACGGCGAGCCGGGTAAGCGGGTACCGGGGAGTCGTGCCTGCTCGCCGTCAGACCCCAGCCCGCCTGCCTCGGCCCCGCTGCGGGTCCTGCCGATCTCAGGTGTCAGCTCACAGCCTGCCCCTGTCCCAGGCCCTTCCTGCAGGGTCCTCAGGACAGCCTCCTCTCCCCTAATTGCTCCGCGTCTTCCGCAGTTTGCGTCCTAGATCCAAACTGTAAATTCCCGAAGTCAGGGAGTTCCGCGGGTGGCACTTAATGAACACTTCAATTCACGCTTTGAGGCACAGATTTTACAAAAACACTTCCTCGTCTTCAAAACAACCCAAGTTCAGGGCTGGTAGTATCCGTGTTCTACAGAAGAGCTAAACGAAACTCAGAATGCATAAATAGCTTGCTTCAGGTGAGGAACAGAATGTACTGGGGATAGTACCAGGGGACTGTGTACTTGCTCCAAGAGTGCCCAAGTGTAACACCTTTTCTGCAGAACAGGTCTTTCAGATTGGCGGAAATGGCTGAAATTGCTCTTTCGGGGGCCCAGTTACTTGTGTCCAAGTCTGAGGGGGTACTTGAGCAGTTTCACGTGTGTAGCAAGGGACACATGAGTACCAATCATTGGATGAAAAGAGTACTTGATCGCCTTCTGGTTTCTGGTTCTAGCTGTACTTTGTTAAAGGCTCAGAGCCCAAGTTTGAACCATTGATATCCCAGTTTATGTGTGTGTGAAGGTATGTCATGATCTTCTTTTCTGTGTGTGACATGACCTTGCTGTTGAGTAGCAGACCTTGCTTTTTGTGGTGGTACCCTATAGTCTGAGTTACTAAACTGAAGATCAAATAAGTTTCAAATATACTCTTTCCCCCTACCCCCGAAATCTGAGACATGAATAGAGCTGTATAATTTATTTCTAAGGGCAGGTTATCTAGAATGGAGTCAAGTTTACATAGATGCTATTTTCATTGATCACCAGTTGTGTTTTGGATTACAGAACGATTTTGGTCTGAAGAATGGGAGAGTTTAGGTGGGTGTGAGATAATTGCAGTTTCCTATCACAGTTTGCAAGAAACTAATTGAAATCCGAGAATCCACGAGGATGATAATTAGCTAGCTAGTAGCCCTAATCTAACTGGCAGACCTCAGCTAAATAGCACACCTAATTTTGCTTTAAGCTTTGTTTTCTCTTTTTCCCACATTGAACAAATGACTTTAAAAATCTGCCCTCAGCTCAGAGTTTCCTCAGCACGTCATTTGAGGTAGTTTTGGAGCCTTATTAAAGGACAGACTTTGTTAAGGGGCTTCTTGATGTTTTAGGAAATCCCCAGCTAATGTGTGCCCTTGGCCAGCAACCTCTAATTGCATGCAATTTTGGTGATTTTGCTGCTCTACTTTTTAATTTATGACAAAATATATAAAGAAATACTTCAGGTTTGAAAAGAGAGGAACTTGCTGACTAGTCATTAAATACATAAATGCAGTGGGACAATGATCTTTTATCCTGTTACTTGTATTTTTTAATAAAACGCTGATTAGCCAGTAGCCAAGCAGGAAG